GCTATCTGCTAGAATCTGTGCTACTATTAAACACGCTGCTTTTCTTAATTCCATAGTAGCTTTTAGTCTTCTACCAAGTCCCTCTTTCAGCTTGAGTCATTTGGCTATGATTGTATGCAACCAAGAAATGCCTTTCAGTTAGCTCAAATTCTGCTCATTTTTGGGAAAAGCATACCAAATATAAGGCTTTCCTGAGAGTTTCTGGGGTTTTAGTTGGCTGCTTGGATAGTTGATGGGTTTGTGTGTGTGTGTGTGTGTGTGTGTGTGTGTGTTTTGTGTTTTGTGTTTTGTTTTTCTGTCTTGGTCAGGTCTGAGGTCTAATATCTGTTACACTGTAGTACAGATTGCTTCTTTAATACTCACTCCAATTGGATGGGTCATGGTTCCTTTTTTCTGTACCTGAGTCGCAGTCACATTTTTTTCTTCCTATAGTGCTACAGGCTACTTTTTCTCTGGTCCTCTAAAACAATAGTTCTGACCCATTCCACAATGTTATATAGTGTTCTTTAACTCAATGGTATAAGCATTGCTCCTACAATGAATATGAATCAATTGCTTTCTCAGAACGCAGTGTTAAAATCAGAATTATGTCTTCATTAGGCTGTGGTGGACAAAGCAGTGTCTATTCAGTCTTTCTGAAAAAGAACTGGTAGTCAGTTTAATTTTGAGCTCTTTACAAGCTTTTGCTTGTATCTTTGCTATTAAGATTTCTTGGGAATAAATTAATAGCATATAGACATCAATCAAGGAAATTCCAAAATACTGACCGAAGAGCTAAATGTTTTTCTCTACCTTCTTAATCACCCATCAGTTCATAGTACATTCTTAGTAATCTCTCCATTATGTCTTTCTTCTTACGTTTCTTATTCATATTTTTTCTCTGCAATTTTGTTTTTGTCTTGTAATAAAGGATGGGTGTCTTTCATCTTTTTTTCTGGAAACAGGTTAAATTGCAACTCATAATTTGCAACATTGCCAGTGGCATCTTGAAGAGTGGAGAATATGTCTACCTAAAGAGAGAAACTGCCTCGAAAAGGCCACATCCCTCCTCCCTCTAGGCTGGCAGCAGAGGCTGCGAACCCAGAGAAAACACAGGCTGGTAAAAACCCAGTACATTTTCAGAACTGCAGACAAGGTCCTTAGCAGAGCACACTAGGGCAGACTTTTCCAGTTTGTATAGCTCAGTGCCACTGAGGCAATAAATTCAAGCACATCCTTGAAGTTAGAGAGGACACAAGCTGAGCATAAGTGGGCCCATTTTCTCTGCAATCTTTTCAGAATCTTCATAACAGTTTCGTGCATTAAAATTTACAAACTACAATTCTCTTCAAAATGTATCTGGGGCACCATTTTTATGGAACTTGGGAAAGTAATAGTGTTTCACAGAACTCACTTCAGTCAGAGCTTCCTAGAAGGTATTGCCAACCATGGCCTGCCGTCCAACCGCTGCTAGAAGAACTTCTTACTTGCTTTTTTGTTTTCCTCCATGTATACTAGAAGATATAATATTATGATGTGACATGTAGATACTTTTTCATAATTCTCTAATTATAGTTTTGAAACTTTGATTGATTTTCTGTGTGCTTCTCCATCAGTTACTTAACGAGTCAGGAGTCTAGCAAGGTAGGGATGGCTGGGTTTACATTTGAATAGCTAAGTTTACAATAGTGCTAAGTAGGATTCTTGCCAGGCACCCCTAATTTCCAAGCCTTCTTTGTTAGAAGTGTCTGCCCCTATGATCTACAAAAGGGAGTGCAATATAATTTAAAATTTAGTGTCAGCCTATATTTGTCTGTCAACATGAATCAATTTCTACATATTGGTCTTCACCCCCAGCATCATTTCTAAGATTGGTTTTTTAACTTCATTGCTATTCAGAAAATAAACTGTACACACATCACACACACACACATAAAATGCATTTAATAATGGTAAGTAAGCTAATTAGTACATTTTCTATATAATTCCCATCCATATTTTCTTATCTCTTAACTGCGTCTTGTTTTTCTAGAAGGCATAGCAAGTGACTTGCTTTTCTTGATTTAAGAAACAGCTATCAACATGTCATCTGCACTAATCCAGACATGGTAAAAATACAAAGCTGTGGTATTCTAAAGGGTTTACATTGAACCAGATCACTTTAAAGCACTTGTAAATTAACATTGTCAAAATCAGACAGGAAATTTGTAGAGAACAGACCTAAGGAATACAGGATTGAGATGAGATGAATGTTTTTTTTATTCACATATGCATAAAGGCAAAAGCTGAGCATTTGAACAGTAGGGTGGGACCTATACACTAGAAGGACTCCATTAGGGTAGCCACCCACCGTAGCCCAGCAGCTGAGATGGAGAGACCTGGACATGCATCCAGTCTGTGTAAACTCAGTCAGTACCCACCTCTGGATTTGGCTTGTCCTGAGATCTGAGGCAGGGTCTTTTGCCAGCACAATAAATAAATAAATAGCCTCTAATGCTTACTGAAAAGTCTCTAGCCTCAGTCCAGCCTCTTCTCCTTTGGGCTACATCCTACTGGTGGTGCTTTGCGGATGAGAGCTGCACTTCACTGACAACGGATGAGTAACCCCATTATTTCCTGGCAGCCATGATTATCCCTACACTTCCCAAATCCTGGATATGCCTTAATTTCTGGCCTTACCTTTCAGGGTGTCAACTCAGTTTGAGCCCCCAACTAATCTAAATTCTCCTGTACATTTATGTATTTATTTTTTGTCCAGCAGAAATGAGGACAGTGTAGATTGAAAACTGTATCTTCATCCCTCGGTTCATGTTTACATCATGCTACTCCTCTTCAGACTCTGTAGACTCCAGTTCCTAATGATCTTGAAATACCCAGATGTCATTGCCAGGCCATTTACCATCACACAGGCAGTGCTGTCTGGCACTTCTGTCTGCCTTCTCCATAGCCTATGACCAAAGAGCGCTGGTCTCTGCTGGGTAAATCTTTGCAGCTGAGACATTTACTGTCAACGGGTAAAGTTACAGCAGCTTTTGCCTGCTGAGCACTCAATTACTTGTTATGGTTTTTTTTTTTTCCATTTTTGTCTTTGGCAACTTCTCTTGTCTTGGAGTCATTAGAGTTGGTATCATAAAGGCACTCATTTGAAAGCAAAAGATAAAACCCTTTTTACCTTAAAATAAGCCCTACTAATGACTTTTCTAGCACGCTTGCCAAGAAGCGGTTCAGACACATATCAAACTGAGGTAAACTGCCGTGCCTCAGGGAACTAAGGCCTGTCTCACTCTCCAGATGTGGGATGAGGAGGCTCGTATCACTACACAGCCTTTTGAAAAGCGAAGCATCAAAGTGACATGGCCCTTTTTATTTTCAAAGGAAACCTTAAATTTGAAATCTCTGGTAACTTACTGATACTCTAAAAATATGAGACTCCCTTCCAGAAATGTAGCCATGCCAACAATACTCACAGGTACAAATGTTCTCCACTTAAAGCAGGAGGAAAAGAGAAATGTGAAGAGGGTTGTCTTGGATTCTTCTCTTGAAATTGCAGTCATTTTTGCCCACGATAAATGTGCTATAACCAAACTGACAATTGCCACTGTAGAGTGAAGGATGGAAATTCCGAGCCTCTTACAGCAGATTCAGTAATCACATAAGGGGCACAGGAGTGAGTGGTTGGCATAAGGGTGTTAACAGACACTCGCAGATGATGCATCCCTAAGAGCTGAGCCCACACAGCCTGCGTACCGACCTCAGTTCTGCATGCCATCCGTCCCTATGCACATAGGGCCTCTGCCATTTCAGCTGCTCAACAGAGCTAACGACAGAATCGGCTTTGTGGAGTTATTATGAGGATTAAGTGGCACGTTAAGATCATTTAAAATAACGACTGATTATTGTTGTTTGGGACAATCTAAGTCAAGTATAGTCTGCTGGCAACACTCCGTTACATTTACCTGGGCTGTGTTGAGATACAAGCCAGGGCATGGGACTTCAAAAATTCCGTTTGGAAAGTAATAAAAGTAAATAGAGTGCAGCCTCTGACACTAAACTGTGTAGACAAGCACTGGACAAACAAGACAGCCATCAAGGCCTAAACAGCTCGACAAACTCTCACACTGAGCACTGAGGCCAACAAATAGAGTTTCACTCACACTATTCTTGGGCCAGGTTGTCGGGAAGTCTATGACAGCATTTCTTAGCGCCTGCCTTCCACATGCTGCCTTATTTCCTTACCATCTTGGAAACTTTGTGCACCATAATTTTGATAGGAAACTAGAAAGTATCAAGCATGTATGATTTGTTTAAGTGTCAAGAAGGTTTACTTTTGCTTGAAAAGTTCTTTTGGACCATGTAAGGCATTCCTTTAATAGAACATCTTTATGTACCAAAGGCAGTCCAGCTTTCTATATAATCCTCACGTGAATAAGTATCTCTCTAACCTCAGAAGGCGTCTTTGTGTGTAGAAATGCTACCTGATACTTCACTGTACTCACACATGAGAAAAACCACCCATCCAACTGAATGGAGAAACAGAATTTTGACATATACCTAAATGTCACAGAGCCTACCTCCTTTACAAAACATATCCAGTTAGCTTCTGCCAGGAGCACTTCCCTCGCTCTAGTCAGTAAAGTCTCACTTGTTCCCAGTTGTTATGTCTGTCTTCCATTACTAACCATGCATATATTGTCTATTATTAATTTGGATCCTTAGAGAGCCTGTGAACGTGTCACCTGTATTCTCCGTCGATCATAAGCGCCCCTGAAACTGCATCTCGTTGATTCCACAAGAATTTTACTGTTTAACATATTGATTCATATTTATGGGACATGCACAACAGCCATTTGTACTGTGGTGTTCATCACAGGGTCTGCTCTCATTTGGAAAATCATGAAGGGCTTGTTAAAAAGCAGCGAGGCGAGGGTCTTTGTTTTTCTCTTTTTCCTGAATCTAGAGTTAGCCAGAGTTTCACAATAAACACCAATGGCATCTTTTCTTTTCTTTTTTCTTCTCCCCAGGATAGTTGCCAAAGCCTCCCAGAATCTCATGTCCACGCAAAGCTTGGGTATTGTATTTGGACCCACCCTTCTGCGAGCTGAAAATGAGTCCGGGAATGTGGCGGTACACATGGTATACCAAAACCAGATAGTGGAGTTCATGCTGACTGAGTATGATAAGATCTTCAGCTCAGGGGAAGACTGACAGACGAGACAAGCTACTGAGTATGTTCACATCTGTCTTGATGCCTAATATTTTTACATTTCTGTAAACATATTTCTGAAATATTTTTTCCTTCCAAGCGACAGATGCTTCATTTTGTGAAAACTTAGTGATGATTTTGTATTTAAGTTCCAAACATTCGAATAAAATAAATGACAATATTTTCCTATATGTGTTCTACATTAACCCCTTGGGTGTTGTTTTATTTCAGCATTCTATAAATACATCATAAGTGTCTACATTCTTAAATAATGTGTACAAGGTAGCATTAAGACATAGCTCTACTACTGCTCCTTGCCATCAGGTATATCCTGGTGAATGTGCAGCAGTGTGACCATGTAGAGAAATTGGGAACAAAGGTGAGTGTGTGTACACCCCTGTGCCATCTCAAGATCCATACGCAGCAAATCACCAGCTAGGTCCCATGTGCCTCAGCATCCACAGAGAGAAAACAAGCAGGAAAAAGGCATCTATGTTCTCAATAAAAATAGAATTTTTTCACCTTTCAAAAGTACAATCCAATGATCCTCACTGACAGGTGAGCTTTGCAAATACAACACGTTGAGTGACAACTTTTCTGAAGAACAAAAGGATAGTTGAAGAGATTTGTTTTGGATCTCTCTCTCTCTCTCTCTCTCTCTCTCTCTCTCTCTCTCGTGTGTGTGTGTGTGTGTGTGTGTGTGTGTGTGTGTGTGTGTGTGAATACTATTTTGGTTCCACAAACATACCATTTTATAAATTAAATGGATCAATCTTTACTTTATACAGAGATTGCATTGCTGTTCCGTTTTGATTCTTCCTTAAACTGTGTATTTTCCCTTTCCCCAAAATATCATCTTATGTAGAATTTTTATTATGTTTTGAAGGATGTTTTATTAATGAGTTACACTAACTCCATCTAGAAAGAGCTATTTTTAAATGCTTGCATTAGTATGGCCTAAGAATTTCTTGACTAGACTCATACTGTTTTATCCATTTGATGGTTACTTTCAGTTGTGATAGATAGACAAAGATATATCTGTCTAGAATATATCAAATATTGCTGCATTTTGAAAAGTGTGTACTAGCTGAACACATTTCATGCCATTTTATGAAAGAGTTCTGCTGATAAAACATAAAATTATGTTTAAGAGCTTTTAAATAAACTCACGTGGAATGAATAAAACTAATCTAGTGTGATAAGTAAGTCTAGCTATGAGTTTGTCCATAAAATTAAAAAAAAAGCATGTAAATAGTATGGTATGAAGCACAGATCCAGGAGGAGATACTCAGAACAGTGATAAGCTCATAGGCATAGGCTGTAGCATCATGGATGGGGCATTCAGAGATGAGAAAGTCTACTTAAGAGATAGCCAGATGGTCAGGAAGTACCGGCATCCACAGCAATGCCTGAGGATGCTTGCCTGAGGAAGGATCCATTATGTTTGTCCCTCTTGAATGTATTTATCTTAGTAGAAGTCTCTATACATGAGCTCATAGCCAAGAACTATGAAGCAACCGCAGTAAATTGTTGAATGTGGTTTCATCAAGTGGGATGTATTTGCACACCACAAAGCCAAGGGAAGTCACAAGAAACAGAATCCCATGATCTAAAGTCATCAGTAAGAGGGAAGCAGCAGAATGGCTAAACTGGAAAAGCTTCTTACATGTAAAGCTTGTGCCTTTCAATAAAACACAGAGAAATATGAAACATGAGTTTCTGGCATTCATTTCTAGTCTTCCTTAACGCTATAACAGTCTCATTGAAACCTTTTCCAAGATGTTAATTGTTTCTCTTTTTGAAACAAGAAAATCGGGGTTAGAACTTCCAGTATTAAAACACTGTGTCTTCATGAATTCATCTTTAAAGATATTCTGGAAGCTTCAGCCAGAGAGAAAGCCAAAGAGAAATGGCACTACCTGCTTTCAGCAAAGATCTGCATCCCCTTCTCTTTGCTGCTTTCCAGATTCATAATCTTCAAACGCACCAGCTTCTTGATTTCCAATCAGATGGGATTTAGTCTGATCCAGACCCCAGCTGTGTCCTGTTCCTGCCTACTAAGGGCACTGCATCAGAGAACATGTTTTCTCTCTAGAGGGAGACCTTTCCAAGGTACCAAGCCAACATGCCCATCATAGGATCTCACTTGCTCACTCTAAAAGCTTAGAAAGGTTATGGCATTTCAGAAAGGCATAATGTCTAGAATCACTGTCCCAAGTGTCAAATCCATTTCTGCACTAGGTTGAAGCACTAAGAGATTTTATGAAACTTGGCAGTATTCTCCATTAAAACAAAATACATACATATATACATACATACATACATACATACATACATACATGCATACATACCAGGAAAGGTAGTAAGGGCTTCTTACCCACCTGGTCTGAGCTAGGCCATGTTCTAGGCACTAATTATATGATTATCATATAAAGCACATATCATGTATTACTCCCCTCTGTAATAAAGAAAGACAAATGCCTAAGGATTAGTCACTATCCAGTACAAGATCACAAATGTTTGCCAACGGGGTAACCATGATCACCACAGGATTCAACTCCTGCACGTGGAAATGCTCAAATAGATCAGCAGTGCCAGTTACAGAAATGTTAACAAAGCATAAGAAACGAGCTATGCCTGGGGAAGTCAGATTGGGCTGCACTGTTGAGATAACCTTGAGAAGTTCTATTGAATCTTGACGAATCAATGAGATTTATTAGACCAGGAAAAAATACAGGAGGTACACCCAGCAGGAATGAGGAATGACATGCACCAGGATTGAGGAGACCTGATGCCCCCCTGGGAATATTGAGAAAATCAGTATTAGAGATAGAAGTATATATCCTTGGTGATTTTGGAAGACAGAACTACAGAAAGTCATTGATGTTAGATGTGGACCAAAATATTCAGATCTTTTCTTTTAGACAAAGGTGGTCCACTGGGAGTTATGAAATAAGAAAGCCACAGAACAACTTGGACAAAGAATCTCTAAATGTCTTAGTGGTCAAGAGATTTAAAAAAAAAAAAACCCTTTGAGAAGATTTCTGTTCTCTTACAAGGGCTAAGGCTCTGCATATACATGGGTTTTGTGTCTATAATTTTTTTCTAACATTTTTTTATCAGTGCAATAATAATCTTGTATTCTCCGAGGTATTTCAAAACACTGATAAGGTATTATCATCTACCAAATAGAAACACAAGTCCAAAGCTGCCTCACTGTAAAAAGCAAACTAGTTAGGACACCCATTTCGTCTGGGCTTTATCCACCCAGCTCGTAAGAGATTTCCCCTCTCTTCATGGAAAAGATGGGTATTCCACTTTACATGTACTGAGTCTGGCTTTGCATAGTATGTGCCATATGACAGGATCATCATGCCACCGCTCGTAATTGAAAGCCTTATGATGGTTCACCCTATCCAATTAGAAAACAAAGGATCCAATTAAGAAAAATTAGAAAAGCTGTTAGAAAGAAGCAGTCACTTGCCAACAGTGCTGTCCTTACAGCTTAACACAGCTAGAAATTGACCTGCACTTCTCTCTCCCACATTTATTTTTGTGAATTATAAGTTAATCACCCTGTCAATTCCTAATTAAAAGGCCCTGCAAAAATTTTTCATCCAAAAGGACCGTCACTAAAAGTTCTGGGTCAAATTGCTCTGTTGTCAAAAACGAGAAAAAATTCCAAAACAATATCAACTCTCTCCTAGGGAATTCAAATCTGCATATAAAAAAAAGAAAGATGTTCTTCAAGTTTGGTATTTCTTCAATTAGAATGCTTCATCTGGTCAACTCTGAAAAAAATATATATATACAAGCAAAATTATACAAACTAAGCAGGTTGTATTTATGTATTTAGACATATATATCAAAATTAATGAAAATTTTTTCACCATCTATTTAGAAAAGAACAAGGAAGAGTACTCGGGGGAGTTTAGGGGTGAGTCAGGGAAGAGGAAATGATGTATAATTCTATTATAATTTCAAAAAAACAAAAGAAATAATTTTAAAATGCTTCATCTTATTGTTACAAGTAAATAGGTTCCTCTCTTTCTTTGTGTCTGTCTGTTTGTCCTCTCTCTCTCTCTCTCTCTCTCTCTGTGTGTCTATCTGTCTGTCTGTCTGTCTGTCTCTGTATGTGTGTGTGTCTGTCTCTCTCCCTCTCTCTGTGTATATGTCTGTCTCTCTCCCTCTCTCTGTGTATATGTCTGTCTCTCTCTCTCTCTCTCTCTCTCTCTCTCTCTCTCTCTCTCTCTCTCTCTTTCTCTGTGTGTGTGTCTGTGTGTGTGTCTGTGTGTGTGTCTATGTCTGTGTCTGTGTGTCTGTGTGTGTGTTTCTTTAAGCCTCGGGCTTCACACTCAGATGCTGAGTCGGGCCAGGCATGTAGCATAAAGAGTAAAGAGAAGCAGGCAGCCTCACTATGAAGTGGTAACAGCTGGGGAAACCTGAAGCTCCTGCCTGCTCAAAAGTCAGGCTTCCACTCAGCTGGAGCTGATGTCGCTTATGTGGGAACGTGAGCGGTGTTGCCAGACCTTCAGATCTTTCATGGGAAGCCAGAATTGAGAATCTTCTATGAAATCTGATTTTTAAGACACTAAATAAGCGACCAAATAAAACACATCTGAGCAGCCTCTGCCTAAAGATCAAGTCTCTTTTGTGGCCTCGGTGTTAAGCCTTTCAAGTTGCAAAGCTTGTTTCCCAGAAAATGGCAGTCTTTAGAGTAAATTTTGGAGACAAGGGAGTGAGCCAAAGCAATAAGAAAGAACACACAAACAGCAAAATACATGGAACTTACTGTTCACATTCTGAGCGAATTATTTAGTCCATTTGAAATTCTCTTGTTTTCTGATCTATTAAATGCAATATGTGTTTTTTAATCTTACTGTCTAATGGAATAATGTAGTGAGAGCTAAACCAGGTAATGCACATATCACAAATTGTCACCAAAGGATGTAGATGATAGATCCATAATTTAATGATAAATAAATTTATAATTGGAAGATGATGGAAAGAAGGTTGGGGACCAAGTTGTAAAAAGCCTTGAATGGCCTATCACATCTCTAGCAAAAATATTGTATACCCTTGATCTTTCATCAAGAGAGCAACTGTATCAGAGTTGTGATGTAACGGAGTAGATGCAGGGAGAAACTGTGGTCAGAAGATGGTTGCCATAGCACAATTAATGCAGCCTAGCTTCTGACCAGCAGAGAAGTTGCTCTAGAGAGCATCTGGCTGCTTTTTATGAAGGCTTTACTCACATCTCTTTGCTACTATTCCTAAGTGAAAAGCAATGGTTCTGACTGGACCAAATTTCTATAAGCAGGTCCACTTCTGGATTACTTGTTGGCCTGGGGCCATCGTTAATTCTAACATTCTGGCAATGATTTGTCATTTAACAGTCATTACTTTAATGTATTTGAACCAAGACATGGCCAAGGACTAGGAGATTGTGCGTACTAGCAGAACTGCCCCGGAAGGTCATGTGGTCATTTCCAGAACACGACACCAGTACATCTCATTCTTCTCTCTTGGGCCAGTATTGTTTCTCTCACTCAATGCAGGACCACGGAGGAAAATAGGCCTGGAAAGACTGACCCAGCTGGCTAACGTGTATGAAATACAAGTTCTGTATCAATGATGGTCTTTGCATACTTTGTTTTATTTACTCTTCACAAATGTCTTTATGCAAACACTCTTGCTGTCCCCAGTTCATCCTTAAAGAAACACAAGTGGAAAAAAATAATGGTGTTACCAAGTTAATGTAATTAGTAACTTGCCATGGTATTATTCAAATCCAAATAATATGGGTCTGGGGGATCCTGCACTACTTGGGTTGGCTAACCTGTCAGTTTGGGGTGGTTAAGTCTGGGTTGTGGATGGCGGCACTGTCCCATGGGCTAGGATCTTGGGCTGAATGAAAGCAGGGAGGAAAGCACCTGGGCTGAGCACCAAGTATTCATTGGTTTCTGTGGCCTGAAGCACCTGGATGTGAGGGATGGTTCACCTGCTTGCCTTACTAGGAAGCCCCAAAGTCTAACTGTGAGCCCATAGAAACCCTTCTTCCCATGGGTAGCTTTATCAGGCCTGTGTCACAGCAATGCAAAAAGTGACTAATACACAAGCATATCACAAGGTTATTCAAGGACTGCAATTGAAAAAAAAACTATGAGCACATAAACACACCAAATATTTATATTAAATGTAGGAAGGGTGCTGCTTGCTGTCTGTGAACATACATGCAAGCTTTACTCCCATCTTATCTTTGATAAAAGAACAGAGATGACATTATTGGGGGTCTCCCAAGGAATGTAGAGTGTCTCTGTTGCTGGAAATAGGTGGCTAAGCCTCCTTAAAGATTTGGCTCTTAGGGTTTTAATAGCCAGGTAATAGTTCATTTACCTGTACGCTTTACATATATAGTTCCAACTTCACTGTTGAATAGACAGACAAGAAAAGCTCTTTACCCAAGTCTTTACAAAGCACATGTTTGGGTGGCTCTGACCCTGTGTAGCATTTTATTAAGCAGGGTAGGGGATCATATTTGTCAGTGGCCAGTTATCATCTATCATATCACACTCTGCAACATTGTATTGAAATTAGATCTAGCTCTATAGGGGCTTGCGGGAGATGAAAAAATGGGTCCCCAGCAGTCTTCCTCTTAAATATAATTGAAAAAGAGGCAGGCATCAGGACACGCTGTGACTCATGCTGCT